GGTTTCTCCTCTCCGTGCGTGCGCATCCCAACTCTTCACTCTCATTTCTGGATTTTGCTGGTTCTTCCTCAAACCCAGGCTTGGAGACTTTCTGGGACAGGAAATTGCTAAGGGGCGTCCTTCATAACCGCCAGTTGGTTAAGCGCAGAGAAACCGTTCGCAACTGCTGGGAGGGGCCACCGTTCCCTTTTAAAAACCCTAACCTTTCAATTTTCTTCTCCAATCCATCGAAGGCTAGGCTCAGCGCGGTTATTTCTCAGAGCGAGAAGTGATTTGGAGAGAAAATTGCAAGGCAATTCCCCCTTCTTCTTCGTCTCCGTCAAGCCGCTGGAACAAACACCATAGAGGGCAGGGGTAAGTCTCGCTCCTTTATTTCTTTCTTCAGTCGCTGTTGCTGTTTGCTTGCTCGATTCCCCTTCCCCTTTTTCTTAACCCAAGTCTGGATTTTGGGATATGCATCACCAATTAGCAACTTCAAGTGTCAATTTGTCTTCTTTTTTTTTTTTTTCGAGTAGCCCTCTTTATGGCGTGATGGCATCGCATGTTTATTCGTTGTGCTTGTGCTTGAGTTTAATTGTGCTATAATAAGCCGAGCTCAAATTAAATAACACCGGATAGATTCATGAGCGTGAACTTATATAGCCGTTGCATTTTTGGCATGCTTGCTTGGCGTGATGTGTGACCCGTGGCTCGCGTAGGCGTCCTACAATTCCCTATTATGCCCCGGTCGAGTTTCTTTTGTAATTAATTATTTGCACCGGGCTGACAATAAGCTTGGGCCTAACCCCCTGGATTTTTGGGCCTCAACATTAGCCCCCTTGATTATTGGGGCCATGAGCGGATCTTGAGATGGGCCTAATAATCAAACCCAGCCCAAAAGTCAAATCGATGTCAGACGATATGACCTTCTTGTTTCCCGCGTGAGTGTGCTGTTGTCATGATGGTCTTCCAGCAGCCTTTTACGTTTCCCAGGTACGCTTCGTTTAAGTCTGTTTTATTCCACCCGCCTTTTACTTCTTCTTCTTCCTTTCCCCTTTTCGTCTTCGGTTTCTCCTCTCCGTGCGTGTGCATCCCAACTCTTCACTCACATTTCTGGATTTTGCTGGTTCTTCCTCAAACCCAGGCTTGGAGACTTTCTGGGACAGGAAATTGCTAAGGGGCGTCCTTCATAACCGCCAGTTGGTTAAGCGCAGAGAAACCGTTCGCAACTGCTGGGAGGGGCCACCGTTCCCTTTTAAAAACCCTAACCTTTCGATTTTCTTCTCCAATCCATCGAAGGCTAGGCTCAGCGCGGTTATTTCTCAGAGCAAGAAGCGATTTGGAGAGAAAATTGCAAGGCACTTCCCCCTCCTTCTTCGTCTCCGTCAAGCCGCTGGAACAAACACCATAGAGGGCAGGGGTAAGTCTCGCTCCTTTATTTCTTTCTTCAGTCGCTGTTGCTGTTTGCTTGCTCGATTCCCCTTCCCCTTTTTCTTAACCCAAGTCTGGATTTTGGGATATGCATCACCAATTAGCAACTTCAAGTGTCAATTTGTCTTCTT